CGGACATTTCCTTATGAAGTTACAAGCGTTTAACCACACAGCTGTTTAAAAAACAATATATGAGAAATTAGCCATCAAAGTTTATGATTTCAGGCATTTCTCATGCAGAAACTATCTTTAAATCCTTAAAGTATTAACATTGAAAATGGGGAAAATAACAGCATAGAATGATGTATAGATATATAAAGGTTATTTTAGTGCAATAAAATAGATTTTTAAAATTTTGACATTCCAGCATGTTTTGGCCATTTTCTCTGAAACGTGACGAGTGACTGGTTTGGCTTGTCTTTGCCACATATTTTATCACAAAATACATTATTACATTATTAATTAGACCTTATTAAAGTACTGAAAATACATGTTGCATTATACATCATTATTACATTAAAATACACCAGGCCTATTATTAAAATTCGCATTGGTAGAAGACAGTAAGACATTATTAATTGCAATAATTAAAAAGTTTTCTAAAAATTAATTATTATAAACACAATTTCTTGTTTTCTTAATTTACATTACAGCCTGCAGTAAATGTTTACAATATACCGTATTGCCGTTAATTTACGTATCATAAACACATTAAAATTCACATAAATAGATTAGTAAACAAGACAGTAAAACATCAAATAAGGGCAATAATAAAAATGAGTTATATTAATTATTATAAACACAATTTCTTTCATTCTTAATTTACAGCCTAAATATTTACAATATATTGCCGTTAATGTACTTGATCATAAACACATGAAAATTAAGATAAAAAGGTTAGCAACAAGACAGTAAAACATCAAATACTGTAAAGGGCAATAATAAAAATGAGTTTTCAATGTATTAATTATTGCTGCGAAGCAGCCAATTCATATTATTGACAGCAATTTGACCTCTGAAAGGTCATTGTTTGTCAAAAAACGAGTGCCGAAGACGACTGAAAAGCGGAGATTCCTTCTTTCGTTCTGCCGGGTAAAATCAATTACTTTAGGCGACGTTTGTAGACTAACCTACTCGTACCAACGTCCGCATGTCGCACTAGCCTTATCCTACTCTACTAGGCCTAGACTAGCTAGGATAGGCCTAGCCTTGAAGGGACGAAGGTCCCAATGAAAGACAACGTCGCTCTTTGATAGCTAACATTTAACATCACAATAATTCATTATTAGACCCATAGTTGTTTTTTGAATTGAACTCCACAAATCTTAGCCGATACCTCGCACAACTGGCTAACGTCTCTATTGTCGTGATGTCATGGCTCGCTGGCTCACACTTGTGATATCTCACACTTGTGATCAAAAAACACGCTGGCTCGCACTTTGGCAACACTCTTTGGCAGTCAACTCGCCCCTAGAAAACCCGCCCTTGGAAACTTGCCCCATAAAAAAATGTACACTTCCTAGACCATGCAGTCTTCAAAATAAAAATTGTAAACTTTGGTAATCAACTAAATTTTCCACATACATAGAAATTTTTGGAACTTTATTTAAAAAAAACCTAAACCATAATTCACCACACTATAGACACTTTTTGACAAAAATGAAAAATTACGACTTTGCAACCCAATGAGAAGTGTTCTAATATAGACAATGGGTCGTGTCTCCTATTATTTGTTATAGTTTTATTACCTGTATTCATTATTTTCACTTGACTCGCATAAATAATTTTGTTCGAAGAACATTTATATGCAGTTGTACTTCGTAGCACTTCACTTGCAATTTGCAATTTCTAGTTATAAATATTATTTATATCTTTCTTACTTTATATTACAGCATAAATGTTTACAATCTATTGCCGTTATGTCTTTAAATAAATAGTTATACTTGATTAATTGGCTTATAATTTATTGCTGATTTATTCTACATTTAACCTTAATGTTGTATTCTTTATAATTCTGATTATTTGATGAATGTATGTATTTTATTTCAGTAAAACTTTTGTAGAAGGCTGAACATTGCAATATGCACTTCTGAAGATCTCAGTAAACCAGTGGACTCAACCTGCTCAGCTTGATGTCTATAATGTTGCTTGCTTTTTTGTGCTCATTAATTCTGCTGAATGGTAAGTGAAAAAACTTGTTCCAAAAACCGAAAGGTCCACTGATTAATCTCAGATAAGAAAGTATAATACATACTCCAAGTATTGAAATACACGCCATCGTGTTGGGATTCAATATTTCGACATTAATTATGTCATCATCAGAAA